CATTAATTATTCTTAAAGAGAAATCTTATGTGTACTATGACCAATTTCTCCTACCACAAAAGAAATTCTTCAGAAATAGTGAAATATTGCCCCAGCCTTGTAACAATCTTTGGGTCTCATAGAAAGGGATATGATTAGTGCCAAAAAATGAGTCACAAATAGAAAAAAAAATAAGGCTAAGTAGAATCATTGGTTGCCGTACTGATATGGCTGTGATGGTGTGTGAAATATTACATTTTATGCATTAATTAGGAGGAGGAGGGAGGGAAGAAGTGGAAAAGCAACATAACATCATGAATCTTTCTTCCTTTTGGAAAACCCAGAAAAGAAGATAAAGTGGGAATACTGTAAAAAGCTTGGCTCCAGCTCCTTGATAACCAGTGCTTCAGTGGTGCTTCTATGCTACTGTAAAGTCCCCCAAAGCCTCCTCCAGGCCACCTCCCTCAGCCTCTCATTTTTTTCTTCTATCAGTAGCATTCATATAGTGGACTAATTCTAGAAGGGGCAAATATTAATTTTACTTTAGAATTAGTATTAGGATACAAATATCTCAACCACTTGGAGCGCACTGATTTTTATCAACTCAGATATGACTCCGAGATAACTATATGGAAACTTAAAGAGCTAGAGTGAAAACTGAGGGCCAGATAATAACTTGTCCATCATCCAGCAATTCCTGTGTAACACCAGTTTTCTTTCTCTCCTCACCTATCTACCATCATTCATTCCATTTTGAGATTACATGCTTATTCTTTTGCAGTTCACATTGGATGATGGAAGAAAATATTTACTGATTCTATACAATGGTAATAATAATGTATTAAATAATAATTATCTCCAGTAGCAATATGTAGTTTTTCTGTTCTTCCCCAGATGCAAATAGCTCATTGGGTCTCCACTCATTAACAGGAACCTGGGGAAAGCCACACCAGGAAAGGAGGCCCATGCTGTGCTAGGTTATAATTTGCATACCTTTCCTCACAACTACATGAAAAGGAAATATCACCTTTATTTTCCATTAGAGGTAGTTCTTCATCATACCAGAAGATGCAGAAGGTTTCCAAGACCCAACTTGGTGTAATTGTCAGGAAATTAAAGCTGAACCTGCTGTAAGCAGGAGGTTGGACTAGAGACCTCCTGTGGTTCTCTCCAGCCTGAATTATCTTATGACTCTATGACCTTCATTTTCCTGAATCAAAAATAGCATTTTTGTGCATATGGGTATTGCCGTTATGTATTTTTTTTTAATTTATTTACCAATCACATTTGACTTAGAAAACATCAAAAATTCCATTAGAGTGTAGTCTGGGTGGCTTCTCCATTTCCATCACCTACTTTTTTTCCTGTGGCTTCATGGGAGAATTTAAACTGGAGAGATCTACAAAATGCAGTAATACTTCCCGTTTTCTACATAAACTTTTTTTAAAAGAAAAAAAATGTGCTGGAATTGGCTATATCTCGGTCTTGCTTTCTTTTTTGGTCATTATGTAATAATACAAATGAGAGTGCCTGGGAGAAAGACTTTTATAATTTCATTCTCATTCAAATATTTTTTCTCATTTTGCTTCAAGTTATCATCATTGTGAATGAAAAAGTGAAAACATAACTCTTCTATAGACATATTTCGGTTTCTATCGTGAGTAGTTGCTGAGCACTCAGCTGTATTCTTTGAAGAATGCTTGGTCTGTTTCTTACGTTTGTGAGATGTCTTTTAGGCATTATAATTGTAACATTTTTAATGTCCTAATGGTTGCAGTCTGAGTTTTGGGGTTATCTATTTCACACTTATTAATGATATTATTCTTTTGCTTCAAATGAAAAAATACTGATTATCAGTTTCTTCAGATAAATTTATTTCCGATCATCAACTCTGTCTATTTTGCCAAGGAATTTAACACAGTCTGTGCCATTGATGTCAGCAAGAATAGGATTAAGGAGCAGGATTTAATTTACTTAGCTGTAACAGAAGAAGTCAGAAATAGCTTTAGCAGTTAAATTACTTGTGGCAGAATTGTTTGTTTATGTCCCTAACATTGCCGTGGTATATTCTTGAGTGATAGATCATTTAAGGTGACTCACACATCTGAAAGATTAACATTTTACCAATATTCAGTTACCTTATTCCATATTCTTATTAGTGTAAGAGGCAGTTTAGCTGAAAAATGAATGCTAATAAAATGCCTTTTTAGTAATTCATTTTGAAAACCATTTGACCTTAACTACAATGAAAGTAGACTGTAAAAATCATCATAGATTCCCTTCCTTGAACTTTTCACAATGCTGAAAAATGACTGAGGGAAAGAAGCAAGATCCAGTTACTGTACCCTGTTTGTACAGCTGTACTTCATTGAGTGGAGGCTTGTGTTACACACAGTTTGTGATAGGAAGTAAATGCTTTTAAAACAAGTAAGGAGACAGGTCTTTAACCTCCACCTTTTCAGATGCTTTGTTCACTCATTTAGCTTCTGTCAAGGTCTTGGGAAACATTTCAAATACAAATTATTATTGAGTACTGAAGCTCACCTGAATAATTCATCTCCTAGTGAGCTCATTAGGCAGACATGAATTAGGATGTTGTTGTGTTGGTTTTTTTGAGAGACAGGTCACTAATATTTGATGTAGTGAACACTTGTTCCTTCAGGAGCAAATGCATTTAAAGAAGGAAGAATTCTCATATTGGGTATTAAGTGTTTTGTGATAGTTGAAATTACAGTTTTAATTCAGCAATTGTAAGGATTTTCAAGGACTTAAAGGACATTCAGAAACAATGTTGTCATGTAAATTACCTAACTGTGAAAATTCATTATATTTCAAATTCTCAGTTTCTAGCATACGAGACTGTTACCGTCTGTTTCAAGACTATCTAGTCCCCTGAAGTGGCGAAGACACCTTGAGATTCATTAAGAGGATTTTTTGGCATTACTTTACATTGCAAGTACATGTTAGTCACCAGACCTAAACTATTTGAAGTAAGCTTGGCACCAGATAATTTCAGGACTTTAAATACACGTTATAAGATCATTCTGTGAATATCTGTAATATCTGCCAAAGGCACTTTTCTAATTGCTCTGGTGAAAAAAGTCAGTGGCAATGGGAGTGGCAAGCTGGCAGATAACCAGTTAACTTTTAATTTCTGTAATCAGCTGAGGCTTTGTGTATACTTCATCCTTTGAAACCCATGTGACTTTAAATTTAGGTTTATGCTAAATAGGCATTATTTCCTCTGCATTAACCACCCACTTTCTCATTTTGCTATAATCAAGGTCATCCTTGGCGCTATACATCTGATGGCCATAAACATTTGTATCTTAATCTCCCACTTAAGACTGTCCAGATATCAATATATAATGTAGAGGGGCCACCCAGATCTGCACTTAATGAGAAAATACCTTGAAAAACAATCAGGATTTTGAAGTAGTATTCTTCACTGCAGTGCATTAGAGGTGCCATAGCTTCAGAGGATGTGGCTTACACTGGTTTTGCCCTTATTCCAGCAACTTTTTTTGAACTGTAACACAACAGAGTCACTGCTCTCCTTTGGCTGGGTCCAGAGTTCCCAGCATGTGACCATTTTTTATTTTTTTTTTCTCCATTTGTTGTTGGTGGTCAGGCAATGGCTGTGTTTTGTGGTCTGTGGTACAAGTGGCCTTGAAGATTTACATATTCCAGAAAACTGTAAGCATAACAGCAGAAAACAATTAAGTTGTTTAAATTTGAAGTGTAAGATTTTTGGAACATTTGGTGTCCCCTTCTAGTCTTGAAATACAACTTCAGTAAACAAACACAGGCAGGAAAGCATAGAATCATAGAATGGTTTGGGTTGGAAAAAACCTCAAAGATCATCTAATTCCAACCCCCCTGCCATGGGCAGGGACACCCTCCATTAGACCACATTTCCCAAAGTCCCATTCAACCTGGCCTTGAACACTTCCAGGGATGGGGCATCCACAGCTTCTCTGGGCACCCTGTTCCCAGTGCCTCACCACTCTAACAGTAAAGAATTTCTTCCTGATATCTATTCTACGTCTATCCTAATACCTAATCTACATCTGTCCTCTTTCAGTTTAAAGCCATTACCCCTTGTCCTGTCACTACATGCCCAGTCCCTCTCCAGCTTTCCTGTAGGTCCCCTTCAGGTACTGGAAGGCTGCTCTAAGGTCTCCCCAAAGCCTTCTCTTCTCCAGGCTGAACAATCCCAACTTTCTCAGCCTGTCTTCATAGCAGAGGTGCTCCAGCCCTCTGATCATCTTCATGGCCCTCCTCTGGACTCACTCTAACAGCTCCATGTCTTTCTTGTACTGGACCCCCCAGATCTGAACACAGTACTCTGGGTGGGGTCTCATGAGAGCGGAGTAGAGGGGGAGAATCACCTCCCTTGACCTCCTGGTCACGCTTCTTTTGACGCAGTCCAGGATACGGTTGGCTTTCTGGGTTGCAAGAATGCATTGCTAGGTCATGTTGAGCTTCTCTTCTACCAACACCCCCAAGTCCTTCTCAGGGCTGGTTTCAATTCAGCATCCTCAGTCTTTGTCCCTTGGAACCCCATAACAAAGCTCATAGAATCATAGAATATCCTGAGTTGGAAGGGACCTGTAAGGATCATCGAGTCCAACTCCTGGCTTCACACAGGACCAGCCGAATGAGAGCATATGACTGAGAGCTCCTACTGACTCATGTTATCAGGACTCAGCTCAGGCTTTCTGGCTGTTTAATTCTCATCTCACACATCCTTCTGCTCTTCCAGGAATGTTTTAGTTCCTGCCAAAGCCTTGCCTTCCTCAGCATGAAAGTTATATTGACTTGTGTCCTCTTACTGACATTTAACCCAGCCTACCCAACATCAGCTCTGAGCATTAGGTTTTATTACCTGCTATACTATGGTAAATACCAAAGTGTAAATTGGGGGATTAGTTGCTTTTAGTTTAAGAAAAAAGGCCTTGGGAAACAAATGTTGCTTTGTTCTCTAGTACATACCTCATTAGAAATTATGTGTTTTGCAGAGGTTAATATACTGTGGGCAGCACACCAAGTACATCATAGTTCTGAGGATTACAACTTATTCACAGCCTTGAGACAATCTGTACTGCAGAAATACACCTCCTGGGTAAGTTGCACAAGATTTGACAAACAATATCAACAAGATTTAGTAAAAGTGAAAATATAGTGTTTATTTCCCTTCAAAGCAAAACATACAAATCTTTTAAGATGTTTGACACTGAAAGCACAGAAGCTGAAACTGAAGAATCTGAGAATCATAAGCTTTAAAAATATATTCATTAATGTTTGTACAGCAAACTTGAAAAGAGATACAGTAGTTAAGTTTAAGAAGGCAAATTATAACCCTGCATTTATGTTTTCATAACTTTTTGATTAAAATGGGACAATTTTTTTCAATCGGTTATTCATGTATAAGTACAGGAAAAGATCAGAGTATAGCATAACTACTCTAGAATACATCTGTATAACTGAAAGGAGCAGGGAGAGAAATCATTACTGAAGATTACTCTGGACATGCAAATGTATTTATTTGTCTCTTCTCATTCATGTCATGTGTCAGTACTCCAGTAAGTAAGGGAGGTATGCCACTACTTTTACCTACTGTTATTTCAGATAGAATTTATTTTAAATGGTGAGCTGTTTACACATGCAATATAAATTAAGACAAGTACTCATTTACAGATTCAAAAATATAGATTTCCAAATACATTCATAAATATAACATACTATTCAGTGGTCAGTTTTGGGCCCAAGATAACTGCTGATTTCTTCAGTTGTGCTCTTGTGTTCTCTTTTGACTCTATTTTTTTAACTGAGATTGTAGTTTGGTTGGTTAGTTGGGTTTTTTTAAAAAAAAGAATAACAACTTCAAAATTTGAATTTTCAGAATTAGAGTTCAAAAGCAATATTCAATGTGTTTTTGTATGTATAAAATACATAAATGTTCTTCTCCAATGAGGTATAATACTGGTGGTGGAGGAAACCCACAGTCCTCGGGCAATCTCTACATCTAGCCTGTGAGCAAATGACTCAAAGCTAAGCGTGTGTGCTCACACATACAAATCTGGTGTAACCCCATTAACTTCAGTAAAGTTACTCTGGATTTATGCTCACATAACTGAGCGTGGACTTAGCCTTTTGTTTATAACGGTTTCAAGCCCATGGCATTAGATGAGTTAAAGCGCCAGGTTCTGAAAAAAACCAACTATTTCTTCTGGAAAATTGTGAAACAGATATTATGTGTTTTGGTTTTTTAAAGTCTTGTCTGTAAATTCTTGTTATTTTTTATTCAGAAAATAGTAATCTACTCTAGTAGGAGTTCCTCAAATTTAAATGGCCATAATGAACAATACCAGAAGGGATGTATCTCTGTCACAACTCTGCTTCCTATGTAAATACTGCTATGTTAAAGATTTAACCTTTGCACGTTTGCCCATTGGGACCATATGTGCAAATGCTTAACAAAAACAATAATTCAAAAAAGACAAAAAGCCTGTGTGTACACATGGGTGTGTGCACGAGCACTTTGCCTGCCTCCATGATTTGGAGGATGATACCTCAGAGAGCGTAAAATATTCAGGAAGGCCAAGATGTCTGGCTGCCTTAGATTCTGAAGACCGTCCTCAGGACCACACTGGTATCGCTTGGCAAATAATCTATGTACATTTAAAATTCATTTGCTTTGAGCAAAGGGAAATGAACCTAGGAATCCGTAATACTTTGCAGTGGTTTTTCCACCAAATATTTGGTATTAGCCAAGACAGTTGGTTAATGTAAATATTGATTTACCTCCCCATCGAATTTTTGAGAGGGGTGCCAGTTTTCTTTCTCTAGAGCCTTACTGTGCATGAACACAGCAAGAATTCTTGCTAATTCTTATAGCACTGCTATTTTTTTGGACTGCCAGACTTGTCCAGAACCCCACGGATGCATCTGCCTCAAAGCTGAACCTCAGTGAAGCTTTTAGTTAATCTCAGACTGATCTGATGTTGCTGAATGTAACTGTTGAATGCAGTTTGATATCCAGTTTTGTGGAGGCTGTGAGAAAGTTATGTGGATGATGTGGGATTGTGGGACTGTTCTGCTGCCAGCTCAGTATGTGTTTTAAGTTAAACATTATAAGATAAATAAATCAGCATATTAATCTGTGTGGGTTGTGCTTGAGCTGATTGAAAAGATGTAAAACGAAAGAGAAGAGAAAAACATGCTTGAAGTACAATCAGTGGTGTGAGATGTACTCCTGAACTTGGAACCAAATGTGTATTGCTTCATGTCGTTAGCACACACAGTGCTTTTGTTACTCCAGTGGAGGGGCCACAGAGAAGCAGATCTACTGTTAGACTGAGAGATTATTTTGTAGTACATTTTGCAGGAAAAATATGTGGGAAAAAAAAAGTATATTCATTTTTAAGAAGAAATCAGCAAGCTAATGCTATATAAATTTTTGTTTCTGATGAAACAGTTAAAGTGTAATTGTGAAAGGAGAAAGTAACATATACACCTTGAAAAGCTATGATTTAATCCTTCTTGAAAAGCTGTGATTTAATCCTTGAGTACCAGTTCTCAACTTTCCTCCAAGGGTAAAGGATTAATGGCAAATATCAGATCCGTCATAAATTGATAGCTTTAGAGTATACGTTTAGAATTGAATTATGCCTTGTTGTTTTAAAAGCAGTGGAAACATCTGTATATAAATCTGGAAAGGGAATATGTAACACTGTTCTTTTCAGCACAGAGTCACAAAGTTCGCTTCTTATCTACTGAGGAGTCTGCCAGGTCTGGGATCTGTAAGGGATATGGTTGGTGTTTTGTGGGGGGTTTTTTTATGCATGCTTTTTATCCTACTCCTGCAGAATCCTCACAGAAGTATAGCCCACATGAAGTAGCTGTCGGCAGCTGCCCTGCAGCCCCCCGCAGCCCCCCGCGGGCTGCCGGCAAGAGCATCGGCAGGTGGCCCCAGAGACCCAGCCTGGAAACGGAGGGGCTCAGCGCGGGAAACTCAGTCCTCCTGCTACACCTCAGGAGTTTCAAAATTTTCCCTTTCTGGAGTGGAAGCATTTATAAGCTTTTACTCACACATGAAGGGGAGAAAGGTAGAGCATGCCCATGGCGGGGAGCATGCAGCGGACACGCACCCTTCAAAAGGGGCAATGCCTTAGGTGTGAAGGCACACAGCCGCGCTGCGGCAGCCCCGGATAGGAATCCCTCTCCGCCGCCTCCACGAGTGCCTTTCCCATCCGGTTATCAGTTATTGTGGTGCTCTCTCAATCTCTGTTCCTGAATCCACAAGTGGGAAAAGATCTGAGTGTGATAAATGTTTTTTTTCTGCAGTTTTGACCAGAAATTCCATCTTGGAGGCAGGAAAGCTTTTCCTCTACAGATTAGTGAAAGCTGGTACATTCTCATGAAATGTTTTGATTTGGTGAATTGGCATTTCCAGTGAAAAACTATTTAATGATTTTTTTTTTTTTCCCAGACATTGATCTTATTTTTCCAGTGGAACCACAAATAGGAAAACCCAAGTCTTCTGTATGGGAGAGGTTTTCATTCCTTCGTATGGGTTCTACTTTTGTAAATGATCTTTGAAATCCTTTCTGTGCAAAATAAAACTTATGTTGCAAGGAAACACGAGGCAGTTAGGAAAGTATTCTCCTTTGTCAATCTTATTTACCTGTAGATTTATGTAAAATTTCCCTCATCTCACCGCTTAGCAGGGAAAATCCTGGTAGTCATTGTGAGAAGTAGGTTAGAAAATAAATACGAAGAGGATCCTTCCTTCCCCTCTGAGTCATCTGTAAATACCACCAAATTGCCTCTGATACTTTTAGGGGAAAAGCATATCATTTTTAACCCTGCTTTCAATCCTGCAACCACTTCCATGAATAATCTGAAAACCATCTGGGTTTTTTTGGTGTTTTTTTTTTAAATCAACTTCCTCTCTATTCCTTGAAAAAAATTTCCTGCTCTTATCGTGCCATTAGACAGGTACAATCAATAATAAGAGAAAACTGCAGTAGCTTTACTTAAATGTGACTCTGTGTCCTACTCCTTCGTTGGCTTCTTTGTAAGATAAACTTTGAGAAAAACCATGCAAGCCTTCTGGCTGCTGTGGGACAAATATCTCGTGGTCTCTTTTTTTTTTTTTTTTTTGTAGCTCGCCCACTTTTAATAATTAAATGCTAAGGGAGTCCAGGTTAGAGGAAGTAGAAAAAAGGAACTCAGAAAAGAGATTGATTCCATGCCACTGTTTAGGGCATGTCTTCTAAAGTATGAGGCTTGTGCTACCTTCCTATTTCAGAGCATGAAAAATTGTGGGTTTGACAGTTGCTCTTCTGTTTAGTAGTCTTCTGCACAAGGCAGTCTGATCTGCATTTTTAATTCTTAAAGCAGACTCATGCCCACCTCTAGCCCAAAATTTCATGCCTAAATGCCACATCCCCCTTGATGACATTTAGTAGCTCCCACTTTAGGTAAAAGTTACTGTGAATTTCTGTCAGTTTACTTAGACTGATTCTTAGGGATTGAATGTGTGAATTTCACCTTCCGAATATATTTTTCTTTCTTTTTTTGTTTTATAAATGTTATGCAAACACTTCAGCCTGATCAGACTGATTAAAACAAAATATCAGTTTACGTTATTTCCCCCAAGTTCCAGAAGCTCAGCGTAATCCTTCTGCCACCTTTGAATGCCTTTACTTCTTGGAAAGGACCTTCCAAGACATTCAACCAGAAATGCCCCGTGTGTAGTTTGTGGAGCAGCTGTGATCCATGAAGCCTTTGAATGTAGTTTTTGAAACCACAGCTGTCCCAGCCCTACCGGGTGATGCAGAAGCTGCAGTGACCTAAGGGTTTCTTTCTAGCTCTTCAGCCATTGTCTGGTGTCGAAGCCAGCAGACAGAGCTGGGATTGTAGGGCCTTAGTCCTCCATTGGCTCGTGACAGTGAGATACAGCTGTGGTGGCTTTCTCGAGAGCGTCAGTCACATCGTGGGGATGGAGATGCAGTTGTTTCACAGCCCCAGGGTGACATCTGACCTATGGGGTAGGCCTTTTGACAAAAACTGAGGGTGTATTGGCATTAAATGCTGTGTGCAGACCTATGCTAAAGGAATTCCTGGCTCAGGAGGCCTGTCATGGCTAGCAGAGTGCTTTCTCTGATGTTCAAGGATTTGATTTTTGTGAGGACAATAGGAATTTGTAAATGGAGTTTGCTGATTTTGCTCTGTGTTTCACAGGGGGCTCTTATCTGCTACCCAAATTTTCTCTGAGTACTACAGATATTTAAAGCTTGGAGGATACCTCCACTACTGTTTGGTTAGAGGAAAAACTCTGTATTTTAGGGAGGGATTAACTTCTTAATGCAGCTGGTATAACACAATGTCAGGTAGAAGGGAAAAAAGAAGACAAACCTTTTTCTGAAGAAAGCAGACTGACTTTTAGCACGTGAAGGTCTTGGAAGCCCTATTCCATTGCTCTAGCCAGTTAAGCAATTAATTGTGAAATTCCTGGGACTTTAGTTGCTGTCTAAGATACCAGCGTCGTTCCTAAGCAGTTTTCTGAAACTGTTTTCATGCTAGCACATCTTTAGAACTCAGCAATGTATCGGGGCTTCAAGGGAGATGCCGTGAGGAAGTTAGGTGAGAAATTATAATTAACTTTGAAAGCCAGGTAAGCTGCCTTGCCCTTATGGTGCTCACATAGGAAGTTCAGGTGGAAAAGCTACAGCGTTATAAATTCACACTTTGCTTACTCTGTGATAATTCTCCCCGTAAGTGAATGCTTCAGGTCAAGGATATGTTGCTTTATGCTCCATATAGTATGCAGAATAAACATCTAATCTCGGGATTTCTGAGTTCTTTTCTTGAATTTTCTACTTGCTTACATTATGACTTTTGGCAAATCACTTTTGCAGCAATTTGTCTCATTTGCTATAGCACATCTAGTTGTAACATAATAATCAGTATCTGTTCTACATAATGTCTACATTATGGAGGTATTAGAGGAAGCAATTATCTTGTGCAGTGCTTTGAGCTCCTGAGATAGTACTGTTATATCGTCACAAGTTTAGAATGATACGTTTAATGTATATTTTCTTTCTCACTTTTCAGATTTTCAACTTGCCCATGGCTCTCTTCATTCCACCTTCAGTGTTTGCTGTTCATCTACAGTTTAATCTACTTTACCAGTTTTGGATACATACAGAGGTAAACCAGGTTTTTAAGCCATACCTAAACAGTTAGCCTGGAGCAGTGTCCTGGAAATCCACTAGCAGCTGATTTATTGTGTAAGAAAATCTTTGTCTGACTTCTTTAAGGAGAAACATCTGTTCATTTTTATTCCTTTTTCTGAATATATATTGCTAAGTTTATAAGAAGCAATGAGGCCAGTTGGTCCCAATTAGATTAAAAAAAAAAAGTAACTGTAAGGAATCAAAACTTTTTGCTATTTTCATACTATATTTTCCTATCTTGCAGCTTATTAAACATTTCTGGCAGATACTGAAACTGATTTAATTTCTAAGATAAATACTTTAGGGAAAAATATCCCAAACCCAGTGCTTCTTAAAGATCATTGAGTTACAACTGAAGTCAGATATTGTTTCCTTCTTACTGCAAGTGGTAGTCAGATGAAAAATGCTCTTTGATTATCTGATGGCTATTTGTTTATGACTGCACCTATTTATTTGTGTTTTGTGAGTGCATAGAACATATCTATGTTACATACACATAGACCTAATAACGTACTGTAATTAGTAGGTAGTTTCCCAGACTTGTCCGGGGGTTGACTGATCTTCTGCCTTCTCCGTTGCGCTACACTTGAGGCGTTTAAAAGCATCCCGTGTTCTATGTCAGTAGCCCCTAGTGGGCTGTGTGCTAATTATCTCTGCAACGCTTCTACTCCTTTGATTTTTCTGACTATACAGATGCCTTTTTCCCTCTGTAGTTTCATTATGCAATCTATAGAACAATTCTTTTGGGAGACAATTTTATTTTCTTCACCTGCTCTTTTAGGTGGTTATGTTGCTTAAATTTTAGGTTTTATTTTATCTTTTCTGTGTATTTACTTTTAAAAAAAAAAAAGATTTTTTTTTTAAATCCTACTTACAGTGGTCCAATAGCAAACTTCTACTGTTGAAATTTCACTTTTGTTGAGCACATTTCCAAAATCATTGATATAGATCTAAAAAAATTAATGCATTTTGCTCTGCAACACCAGAATAGGAAAGGCTTATAATAAAGTGTCACACACATCACCAGAACTAGCATAAACTCAAGCAAAATGCAATTAAGCTTGTCAAAATGTTTTGAACAAATCTGAACACTTTGAAATTATACCAAATGAATTCTCTGAATTGCATGGTAGCAAAGTTTCTTTGACCATACCTTACATTCCCCAAACTGGTTTCACTGTGTTTTGCCACTAATACGCCTCATCTACCTCTTCTGTGCTGCCTGAAGCCATTTCTTCCTTGGCTGAGATCTTTCTAATGTTCTGCTGTGTAGCAGTAACTGAGTGAGTCTCAGCACTGGTGCCACAGCGTGCATCTAAAGTTTCTAAAGTGAAATTCAGAGGCTTATGAATCGCCTACATCCCTCTAAAGCGCTAAATCCTTCATAGGGCTTAAAAAGAATTCCCATAGCATATGTGCCAAGTTTAGACACTAGTCTAAACAGGAATGAATTTCAGTCTCAATGAAAAGATAAGTAGTCCTTACTATTAAATTATTGTGCCAATAATAGAGAAACATTAAAATTATTATAAAAATTATTATAAAAATTAAATTATTGTGCCAAGAAAAACAATGGATCTTTTGTACTGATCCAATCACAGATTATTATTTACAAGAGAAGATATTAATAATGTTGATATTGTTGATTTTGTAGCACAACTGAAATCGGTTGAAATATGTTGAAGTCATGCTTTAAGGTCAAAAATTATGTCAAAATAGAAATAGGGTTACACCATGTATTAACAGATTTCCTGCTCTCAAGGGCAAATGCATAACAGACAAGAGAAGGGAAAGGGAGGGAAATAGTAGCAGCTATTGCAGCAATGCAGATTTATATTAACCAGTATTTTTGGTGAAATTAATATGATGCTACACCATTATATGGTTGATCTTTGGGTTTTTTTGCAGCAACTGTTACAATTTAACTGTTTAAAACTGTGGCATTTCTAAATTTTTTTAACAATCCTTTTCCTGAATTTTAACTGTTCTAATTATCTTACACAGATTGTAGTAGAATGAAAATCCTTTCTGTAAGTCTCTGTTTCCAGCAGTTTCCCAACATAGAGGGTTTTGGGGGGCTGCAGGCCTGGGGTTGTATAGAAAACAGCATCCTGTGTCAGTGCCTGCTGCTAGCCCTTGCTCTGAGAGCTGAGATTCATCACCCCCTGCAGCTCTGGTGTCCTCTGGGAGCCCGTGGTGGGTGCTGTTACAGGGTGGCAGTGCATGTCATTAGTGGTCTAGTGGAGATACGCTTCATTATTTCTATTCTGCCAGTGCAAGATGTAATAGTTTGCTTCTAAAATTCAGGAGCATTTGATAAGAAGTGTTAAGCTTGTCCTCAGACTCCTCTTGCTTTTAATCAGTATCGATGTTTCCTTAGGCAGGATTTGGCCCCATATTGACTAGTCAAGTACGTTTGGAAATTGTAACTTGACAGATTTTAATTACACATCTTTCTCCTTCAGAAAAAGAAAATCTAGTAAGCTACAGTAAAAAATTCTCTTTAAGGCTATTTTTTTCATAACACTGAAAAGTTTAATAAAGGTTATGCACAATTTATTGTTTTATAAAAGAAAAAATACATGATATTTAAATAATAGGAAAGAATATGAAATTTGAAATGAAAATATGACATTTTCTGAGGGAAGATTTTTTTTGTGGGAGGAATTTAAATTGAGTTCAGTAATTACAAGAGAAGGATTGTGCTGTGCTGAAACTTTCTATGCCGTGTTTCAACCTACAGCAAAAGTTTATAGCCAAAGTATGATCCCTGATATTTTCCTCTACTTTAATTTAGAATGTGCCAGTGCTGTTTCAAACAATGCTAAGACAAGTTTCCTGTGTCATAACTTTGACCTTCTTCAGTATTTGTTACATCATTTTTTGTCCAGCTTTCCTACCAGCAGATCAGACATGGTCTATTTTTTTTAACTCAAGTGGCTCATATATTCCTGTGAAGACAGTATACCAAATCATAAAGATCAAAAGTACCCACTCATTCTATCTCACTTAGACTTCTTTATTTCCTGCATACTTGGTATGCATTAGCTTTTGGTCTTTTATATAAAAGTAGTACAGCATTTTAAATGCCATAAATCTTATATAAAGATCATACTATAATTCTTTTAGTAATAATAAAAGATCTCTAGCACCAAAATCAGAATAGGCTATTGATACCAGAAAGGCATTTCTGTAATTATTAAAGAAAGTTTGAGTGTGCTAGAGTGAAAACACAACTTTGTGACTTAAGTAATGCATTTGCATTTAACTATATTCTCCTATTACAAGAACTTTGCTGTATGAAGTATTTTTTTTCACTGCTGCTGTGCATTATTGCACTGTGTACATGGCAATCTGAAATGATATTGAAAATTTTCCAAAGATCTTTTTAAAAATCTCTGAGTAGCACCAAGGTTTTGAAATGAACTCATAATAGTTTATTTAAATGAAAAAGGAAAAAAAAACCCAACCAACAAACCAAACAAAAAAAGCCCCCAAAACAATTGAAGCATGTACTTTTCTGTAATAGCATTAAAAGATAGTATCTCAATAAATCAAGAGAAAACAATTTTTGGTCCTGTCCAATATTATTTAGGTCAATAGAATAACTCAGTCAGTAGATCGGCTCTTAAATGGTCTGAGAGAAATGTTTCTGTGACTAGACCATTCTCATCTAGATCATAAGGAGAGTGAAGAAAATACTATGGTCAAAGAGCACTAAAAATCTAATTTTTCAAAAGCCACAAAATGTTTTGAGACTGTTACTGACAGACAGAAATACTCCATTTCAGTTTATTTTCACAGGTGATTCGGAAGGTCTATGGCTCATATTAAACTATATCCTTCCGTTATGCATTTATTACAACTAATAAGTTAGGTGTGTTTATAACCTGATAGACACCGGTGAAAAACAGAAATTAGTTTCTGTTGGTTTAGCTGTAATTTTTATGAGATGTCAAATTGTATTTGGAAAGTATCAACTGATTCAATCCCTGTTGGTAGTAATTGCAGCAGCAGATTATTCCTTGCCTGTTTGATCTTTGACATGCATTAGTTTCTTTTAATTTTCTAATTTAAGGTAAGACTAATCTGCCCTTTACCATACTCATGGAAGTCAGATTTCTTAAAGCATCTTTTTTCTCTTGTTTAAGTCTTCCTACCTCATCAAACTCTGGGAGCAGAAAGATGTGAGCCACTGCTATTAACCAGGGGTAACATGGGTGAAAGGAAAAAAATTGGCAACACCTCATGCAGGCTTGAAAAAGAGACATGAAATTGCTACAGATATAGGACAAAATATGTTTTGTTTTTGTCAAAAAACCATGAATTCGGTAAAACTGAAACTTGCTGTGGAAGTATATTGTATATGTAAAAAAAATAATTTGCACTTATGTGCGGTGTGTACTGATCTGTTTCCGTCTGACTTCCTTTAGCTTTCACTTCTGCTCAGTTCTCTTTAATGAAAAACTTTAAAAGAGAGAGAAATCGTAGAGGCTTCACGCTTTTGTGAAAAGGAATTCTCTTCCTGGCAGGAAGCCACGCACAGACCATTGGGGCTCCCTGAGTCCACGTGAGCTGTTGCGGCCCAATCCTGATGTCCTTACATCAATCAGCTCTTACCTAGGAAGATCTTCTATGTTTCGTTTTGGGTTGTTTTTTTTTTCCAAATATGAGCATAGAGTCAATAAGGAAATTAAACAAGTGGATTAAAGAACCAAGTAAAATGAAGTACAATACATAAAAATGTACATTTTTGTTTTAAGTAGCAGTACACCTGTGATTACTGTATCAATAAAAAAACCCTATTCTTGAAACTCTAGAGGACATAGGTGTCTTTTTAAGCAGAAACTATTTCAGACAAAAGTCTATTAGATGGCACTTAAAAGAATCAGAAAAATCTTTGGGCCAATGCAATAAGTAAGTGACAGCATGAGACAATAGATAAAATACTCAGTTATTAATTCCCAGGCCGTT